CTGAGCCGTCTACCAGTTGCAATGACGTCACATGCGCCCGGTTCTCCCTGTGAATTAGTTCACCTGATGCAATATCTAGATACAACGCCTCTACGAAGTTCCACAATCCGTCAGTAGACAGATCGCGAACCAGTTCTTCCAACAATCAAACGATTGTTAACAGACGGATGGCTTGCCGAAGGAACCACTAATTTGTAACCATTTATAACATGCAGAAATGAACTTTATTCGATGTTTTTATGTTCTGGGGTTCCCGGTTTGTCCCTCCTAGCAAGTTTCGGTCACACGTCCTTCACGATTTTCAAGACGCACATCCAGGTGTCTCGATAATGAAAACATTAGCGAGGGGATGCTGCTGGTGTCCGAGAACCGACTCAGAAATCGAGATTATACTGAGGAATTGTGATACCGCAGTGAACCCCCGGTCCAGTACATCTGTGGTGCTGACCCGATGGATCCACGCCAACTACTTCGGCCCGATTAATGGAACCATTTTTCTCTTACCGATGCTCACTCCAAGTGGATCAGAGTGTATCCTGTTACACAAGCGACGTCCGAAACCACCATTGTTGAGAGGCGTTCATCATTGGCCACATTCGTTATTCCGAAGACCCAATTCACTGACAACGGGTCCCTATTTTAGCATGGAATTCAACCGATTCCTCAATAGCAACTGAATTCAGCACATAAAATGTGCGCCTTATCATACGTCAAACGGCTCGGTAGAGTGGGCAGTGCAGACAGTGAAACGAGGACCTTTGAAACAGCGTCTGGAGACCCTGCAAACAAAGCGGGATTAGTTTCTATTTGGTCATTATTCCACACGCACTGCGAGTACTGGTAAGCCTCGGCAGGAACCATAGGATGAGGCTGCATCTACTGTTTACTAATTCACTAGTGGGGATAGAAGAGCGACAGAAGATTAGCCACATACCTTTCAGGGTTCACCGGGAAGGTTAACTGGGGAGCCTGATTGCACAACGAGCTAACTTTTGTTTCCTCACGCCCATTTTTAACTTAATCATCTCCACATAATACTCAAATAGCTTTCTTAATTCATCAGCATGATCTGATACTGCAGGCCTCCGTTGCAAGACAAACCTCTCCAGTTCGGACAGCTTCACGCGAGCGGAGACACACTTACCAATGTCGATACCGTTAACGTACGCAAACGCTTTCTATCATTTACTTACCCTGACTAATACGGGCCGAAAACTAGCAGATGTCTGTCCTAAGTTGCATATCTAGCCTAGTATCCTTACTCTTAAGACGAATATGAACGATCACAGTCGACTATAATCCGATGACTACAATGAGACCTGGACTGATCAGACCGACGGAACCGAATGTTACTACGCCGATTTAGCGAGCAGACATGCGGCAAATGCATGCAAATATAAATATAACTAATCAAATACATGTTTTCTTCCCGACAGTGCGGGACACCCCTTAAAAGAAATGATCATGGTAATACAGACGCGTATGATCAATAATTGAACACGAATGTCACAATTTGACCAGTACATACTGGAGTTATGTATATGTGTAAATGTTTGGGTGAGTGATCATGTTGAGTGAGTTTTTCACTGTTATGCTGAAGTTGTGATTGTGTTCGCTGAATTCGCCAACATAGAAAGGGATCAACTAATATCTTCCAAGTGGCTGACTTTCTTGAATGCGGTCAGATCCTCCAGAAAGGCGGAAGACAGTGACTTTATTTAGTGGCGAGTCATATCCGCCACGTCACAGTGTTATTAAGCAGACATTTGTGACTTTTTATAGGGAGAACGCTTGCCAGGCGAAAACACACCGCGTCCTGGAACACTGTCGCTGAACCATTTGCTGGAACAGGATTAACCCGGACCATCCAGCTGGCACCATGTAGAGGCTGCTCGACTAGCCAGCGAGGAGCTGTGAAGCCACTGCAACTCAACCGCAGTCGTGCTGCACTAGTATGTATTTAGAAGAATAGTATCCTTTCGAGCCGCATTGGTGTGGTATTCCATTCTTTCACACATCAGACCTTTTTGAATGTATTCTTATCTGCGAGCGGGATGAACGGCAATATTTTCCCACGCATGCAATCCCGCGGCTCATTGATCATCTCAGATTTTGCTGTGCCAGAAAGGTTTCATACAAGTATCAACCACAACTTGTTAGCTCTACTGACACATATGCATTTCGGTTGGAGATCCACTCTTCGTGGCAGTAGATTGCGGATTCTCGACTTGACTTGTAAACGTGGTCATCTACTTACTCGGGGTTTATGTTAGGAAATTCTTAGAAAAGCTCAGCTGCTCATCACCATCATCCTTGTCCGGGTTTTACTGACGTGGCGAACGAAAGTGAAGTACCAGGAACGATTAATACGGCAGTAATAAGCAACGGGGACGGGCAAATTACGTACTACACTAACTGTCCAATACAAGTCCAACGCCCAATAGCCATAGATAGAGGCGTCACGAAAATAACCGCGAAAGCAGCAACCTCCGATGGGTTGTTGCACGAGTGGTCAGGCCCACTGCGTTTTGTGGCTGCTTGCTGTCTAACTAAACAGCTTTTTGCTGATGATATTGCCCTAATCTGTGACAGCTCACAAACTCGCCAAGCGGCATTGGACAGTGTAGCACTAGCTGTCCGTCACTTCGGGCTTTGCTTCGCACCCTCGAAGTGCAAAGCGTTCCTCCAAGATTGGTCTGTACCGCCTCCGCTGACCCTTGGTGGGGATCAGCTAGAAGTCATTCAAAAATTCAACTACCTGGGAAGTTGTATCAGCGCCCGTGGGATTGATGATGAGATCACGAATCGCATAGCAAAAGCTCGAGGCGCTTTTGCTAACTTTCGCCACTTATGGCGGCGGCGCGACATCACTCTTACCCTGAAGGGTAGTGTGTACAACGCTGCGGTACTTTCGACCCTACTGTACGGTTGTGAAACCTGGCCTCTTAAGGCAGCGGACCTGAAGAGGCTAGTTACGTTCGACCACCGGTGCCTTCGTAATATAGCTCACATCTGATGGGAACACCGCGTGAGCAACGAGCATGTTCGACTCCTTGTTTACGGCACAGGAAAAGGAAATGGACCGCTCAGCACCGTTATTTCACTCACCAGGCTCCGATGGCTCGGCCACGTGTTATGCATGCCATCCCACCGACTCCCGCGACGTGCGTTGTTTGCGCGCCGTGGGTGTGGATGGAAGAAGAGGAGGGGTGGCCAAGCGATGACTTGGTCGAGAGGAATGAAGTCCCTCACTTCTGAGCTGGCCTCGGTTGGAGCGTCTCGGCTCCCTGGTTGGAATCCGAAAGACGATGAACACGTTTGGCTGGATACACTTGCTTATATGGCTGGGAGTCGACCTCAGTGGCGTTCGTGCTGTGAGTTTGTTTGTCCCAACCCATCGCTCTTAGCCTCCCCCTCCAACCACGATCTCATTATTTAGCCTTATGTAATTTTACATAGCAATTTTTTTGGTGCACAGTAGCCGGCTGGTAGCTTACCGGAACGATGCCCATCCGTTACCGGTAGCTCAGCCGGCTTGCACCAGTTGCATTTTTTCTCCTTTTTTCTGTGTATTGCGGCACAGTAGCTGAGGTGTTCCCCACCTTTAGCTAACGGGTATGAGGTTGATGATGAAACAACTTCTCGTACATCTTGGATTCCTGACACCTATCAACATACTGTACCCAGGGTAATCGTTCTCTCATGATGACACCGGTACAACGGTTGTATTGATCTGATAGCGTTCATGCAGAAACAACGATTGGTGGATTTGGCCTCGGAGCACCATTTGTGGCACTTCGACCATGTCATTATAATTAAGAGAGAAGGTCTTACTACCATTCTCCGCAATACGCAAGAAACTTAGGGGTACACTCATCAAATATACCCAAGGGACTATGATAGATGGGTGCTTGTATGGCATTTAAACACTGTCGCCCACTACCACTGAGAATTAGGGGGAGAAAATGAGGCTGAATTCATGGTACTTGCATTGCTTGATGCCTAGGTTGTTTTTTTGGTATACCGAACGATTAAGTACAAGGATGTTATCTACCCCTCAGTGGCGAACCACTGGTGAAAAATTCATCGTAAACGGTCAACTAAATGGTATAACAGCAGTATCCTTAGTGTTAAAACGGAGCTCTTGGTGTGATAGAATAATATAACTTACCAGTATTTTGCGGAATATATTCATCACTTAGCTTTTACGACGCGAACCCACTTTTTGTTTTCTCCTCATTTGTTGCCTGTGTTTGATCGAAACATCACGTAGATGCGCGCTAAGAGCAACTGGTTATTAGTGCATAGTGTTATTTTTTTCAACTATTCCAAGAACAAATGATGACCACTAAGGGAGGTGTATTGATTCAATTTTCCCCATTGGGTTGCGCTCAACCACTTACTAATGCACCCAGCGCTGTTCGAGATATTGTCCATATGGGTGGTCTGATAAATTGTACGGTAATTTCGCAACAATTGCTCACAGACAAAGCGGTTCCCAATAAATGTTTCAGGTTGATCCGTCAACTGCGTGCACTCGAAAAGCGTGGAAATTAAATTAATAAACCAATAAATAAATTCGCATATTTCCTGACAAGCGGTATACGGCTCCATAAGCGGAAGGGATCATTTGTTTGCTACCACAGAGATTTGAGAAGCGCTAGGGTGCTCTCTAGTTACTGTCTCTGGCAACTAAGAAAAACTAGTTAGTGTGCAGAACAAGAGCTGTAAAGACAAATATTACACTTTGGTCAACCTAAATGTTAGCTTACGTATTATTGTGCCATTTTTCATCAAGCTGTACGAATGCAATCCTTTCGCGTCGCATTTCTCCATTGCTTGAGACTATCCGAAGTGTGACCTCATTTCAAGGTCTTCTCAGGTTGCCGAAATGAGGGCCCACGTGATCCAGGTCCGTGATCTCAGCTCCGTGTCTGTCCCGCCCGTTGCTAGGTCACATGGAAAAGCGACTGGTGGCGGTATTTTAGTCTTTGGATTAAGTGCTTTCCTAATGTTTTAGCTGTTCGTTGAGTTGGAAGCCCACTGGATGTGAACTGATTTAGTGTCGAGGGACCCACATTTTCATATGGTAGAGTCTGCACTGCATACCGACGCGTTGGTTCCGAATGGAGTTTTAACTCAAAAGCAACTGACCTTCGCGAGCGGAACATTTAACCCAAGCGAAGGTGTACGCGGTGAAAGATGCAAACTCAAATCCGCGGTAAGCAACTGATGCTCCATCTTGTGCTGGGTTAAACTTGCGCATTCGGATGCACCTATCCCCTACTTAACGATATCCTAATAAAGTTGGCTTGACAGTAAGCGGAGATAGTCTTTATCGTTTTAACTTCCATTCATCTAGTCAACTACAGAGGTTGATTTATATACCACAGTATATGCCTGGTTTCTTAAACAATTTCATTTTAAATCACAAACCATTCAGAAGTCAGTACCATTTAGTTTGATCACTGGGACGGCAGCTAGGAGCAGGAATTTCCGTGTTGCTCGTTACCACCAACACACCCTCGGAGTTTTTCGTTCTTCTTTATACTCTTCAGGTTAAGATCATCAGACTTGGACCGAACTGGCTACTCGACGTTCCTGAAGATACTTTTGTCGCCACATCTCAATTTGCTTGACAATCAACTCTTCCCGGTGAAATGACGTGCACTTCATTAACTAACAGCCGATCGATGTCTCACTTGAGTACCACTCACAATGACGTGGCGTAAAATCATACACATCATGACAGCATGCTTAAGCGATCGTTGGGTGTGACGCATCGTTAGTACCGCCCTTTCTTCGCGGACCTGTCATCGTAAGCACGGCTTGAGCACAGTGATCAAACACTCATGAGTTCTCAGTAGATCTTCTGTTTGCGTACCTCGCAATCGCAAAGAAGCTAAACAATTAACTATGGAACACTCAAGGTCGCTAGATGAACGTTTATGCGCGCCTACGAGCACTACTTCTCAACGATTCTTGTGCAGTTCCCAACTGTGCAGTTTCATAATGTGGGCAGACAAAAGGCCATTTTCTAGAATCAATCCGCATTTGGCTGCTAGGGCAACGTGTGGCGGTGGCTTATATTGTATCTTTGGTGTTTAGCACTTTGTCTCTAAATGATCTCCAGTATTCAAGTTGCTACATCTCCACTGAATTGCACATTTATTCGAATAGGTAAGGAACCAAGTGTAATTAAGCGGCTTTAGAACTTACGTTACGAATTTATATTTTATCTGATTGCATGCCTTCGCGGTCGATTTCCTACCGGTTCAGCATAGTCTCCTTGCAGAAAGTACCCTTAGGCGGAGCGATGGACAGCACACCATTGAAGGAATATCAAGAGGCGCTTGATACCATTGCCTGCATGTTTTTGTTGCCGTATGGACGATTTTAATCGACCACTAGAATGAAATGGTGCTCAGATTACAGTCCTCAGCGATGCACTTGTTTACACAATCCCTGACGTTATAAGTTAGTTCCATTTGGAATATCGCACAACCCTCGTCCTCATTGGTGATCACCGTTGACGGGACCTCAAGTGTTCGGTGTACGACCGATAGCATTCGGTCGCATCGTAAGGTAGCCCCGGTGTCATGAATGTATAATGCAGCTGTCCGTTCAACCCTCTTATACGATTGTGAAACCTGGCCCATCAGGTCGACAGACATAAAGAGACTAACCACGTTCGATCATCGCTGCCTTCGCAGCTTAGCTCATGTCTGGTGGGAGCATCGCGCGAGCAATGAGCGTGTTCGGCATTGCGTATTTGGTGCAGGAAGAGCGGATGAACCGCTCAACAGCATTATATCACGCACCAGGCTCCGATGGTTGGGCCACGTGTTTCGAATGCCATCCCACCGACTCCCGCGACGTGCATTGTTTGCGCGCCGAGGGTGTGGTTGGAAGAGGAGGAGAGGACGCCAAGCGATGACTTGGTCGAGAAAAAGAAAAACTCTCACTTCGAAGTTGGCGTCGGTTGGTGCATTCCGACTGCCTGGCTGGGGTCCTAAGAACGATGAATACGTTTAGTTAAACACACTTGCTGATATGGCTTGGAGCCGGCCGCGATGACGTTTGTGTTGTTAGCTCCTTTGTCCACCCCGCTGCTTAGCCTCCCCTCCAATCGCGATCTCATTTGTGGGGCATAATATAACTCTATTTGCGTCACGATAGCTGGCTGTTAGCTCTCCGGAACGATGTCCATCCGTTACTGGGGACTTAGCCGGCTTGTTTCTGTTGTCTTTTTCTTCTTGGCTTTTGCATTGCTCTACAATAGCTGAGGTGTTTTCCACCTGCAGCTAACGTGTACTGGTGATGTCATGAATGTGAAGTATAGGGTACTTGTCTGGCACAGTAACGCTGTTTAGAGCGCGGTAGTCATCACATGGACGCCAGTCTCCTGACATTTTAAGTACCATGTGAAGTGGAGACGCCTACGAGTTCTTGGATGCTTCAGCAATACCTAGTTTGAGTATGTGCTTGAATTCGGCTCTATAATGTTTCTATTTTACTTACGGTCTTTTAGATCGGAATGACCGAGGTCCACCTCAAGTGAACCGAGGCCTCAGTAGAGGTTGCTTGTAGCAACCCAACCACCAGCGGATTCTCCAAGCCCAACTTTGCATTCGTTTCCGCTGGACCAAGCGTTGCTCGTGGATCTCAGTGGCATAGTGCTTATGGTGTCAACCATGAGCCACTAGGCTCTGAGTTCCAGCCCAACTCAGGCTATCTCCAACTGATGAGTCCCAACCAGGACGAAACCGCGGTCTTGGGGTGCCAGTATTGGGATGAGCAACACTATAATGTTTCTATTTTAATTACGATCTTTTAGATCGGAATGACCGAGGTCTACCTCCAGTGAACCGAGGCCTCAATAGAGGTTGCTTGTAGCAACCCAACCACCAGCGGATTCTCCAAGCCTAACTTTGAAATCGTTTAGTTCCCTTATGTATAGAAAAACTATAATTTAGAGTATGTTGCACAGTGGAACGGGGAATCTCCAGGTCCCTTCCCACAAGTGACAGTGGAATTTCCAACTTAGGTAGTTTGTTAATTAAATAAGAAACAGAGCGGACCCTGGCACTGCGTCGTTATTATGCTACTGTTTTTCAGGTAGACCAGTCAGTGGAATCGTTGTCTACCTGTACCGTCCACATTCGGAGGGTATGTCCTTACCACATACCTCCCGGTCCTATTCCCTTGGGTTTACACCTGGTATGAGGTGTGTAGGTGGAACTGTGGGTGGTACAGCGCAAGCCACCCATGGTCCCTCCGTAGGCGCAAGCGTCCTGTGGTTGTCCCCCTGGAGGCCACAGTGACGAGCAAATGTAGACACGGATGCCGCCAATCCATGTATGGCATAGCGTAGAGCTCGTTCGCTGCGGTTCGTGCTGGTTACTTTCAAAGTATCACCTCGTGTATGCTATTCTGTCTGCTTTAGCTTTTCTAATCTTCACTTAAGTGTTTAGCAGCACAACTCCCGGGTTATCTGAGCAATCGCGTTGCGAAAGTGGACACCGATCTTTTCGCATTATCCAAATCATTTCTCTGCAGCAAATGCTACATTACACTCGACGTTGCATCTTGGGCAATGCGAGTATTCCCTTCCACAAACTGGTTTTACTGCGCCAGTTAGATGGCTTGGTCACGACCTACGCATGGCACCTGATCGCCTATCGCGCCGCGCTCTATTCACTCGTCAAGGACCTGGCTGCAGGCAACCGCGTGGTAATCAACCTTTCACTTAACGACAGCACATGAAATCGCTGACGTGGTGTCTAGCCGCTGTTGGACCCGTACGTATTCCAGGATGGGGACCCAAAGATGAGTAGTGCCAATGGCTTAACACTCTTGAAGGCATGGCCCGCAACCGGAATCAGTGGAAGAATTTTGTACAGAATTGTATTGATTCACATGTTAACTACCTCAAACAATGATAATGACAAAAAAGAGCAAAATCGGCGTGTGAAAAACAAACTAAAAATGTCTTACCCTATTTTTTGCCAAGATGTTTCCTTGTTGCAGAATAGTAGCGCAAGTGTGTTGCTCACCTCCTAGGCCACGATGTTTATGACGCGGTGACACCCCGTATCTGCTAATCTCAATGTTTTTTGTTGGCTCTATATCTAGTTCCTAGGCTGTCGAGGTTACTACTACTACTACTACTACTACTACTACTACTACTACTACTACTACTACTACTACTACTACTACTACTACTACTACTACTACTACTACTACTACTACTACTACTACTACTACTACTACTACTACTACTACTACTACTACTACTACTACTACTACTACTACTACTACTACTACTACTACTACTACTACTACTACTACTACTACTACTACTACTACTACTACTACTACTACTACTACTACTACTACTACTACTACTACTACTACTACTACTACTACTACTACTACTACTACTACTACTACTACTACTACTACTACTACTACTACTACTACTACTACTACTACTACTACTACTACTACTACTACTACTACTACTACTACTACTACTACTACTACTACTACTACTACTACTACTACTACTACTACTACTACTACTACTACTACTACTACTACTACTACTACTACTACTACTACTACTACTACTACTACTACTACTACTACTACTACTACTACTACTACTACTACTACTACTACTACTACTACTACTACTACTACTACTACTACTACTACTACTACTACTACTACTACTACTACTACTACTACTACTACTACTACTACTACTACTACTACTACTACTACTACTACTACTACTACTACTACTACTACTACTACTACTACTACTACTACTACTACTACTACTACTACTACTACTACTACTACTACTACTACTACTACTACTACTACTACTACTACTACTACTACTACTACTACTACTACTACTACTACTACTACTACTACTACTACTACTACTACTACTACTACTACTACTACTACTACTACTACTACTACTACTACTCTACTACTACTACTCTACTACTACTACTACTACTACTACTACTACTACTACTACTACTACTACTACTACTACTACTACTACTACTACTACTACTACTACTACTACTACTACTACTACTACTACTACTACTACTACTACTACTACTACTACTACTACTACTACTACTACTACTACTACTACTACTACTACTACTACTACTACTACTACTACTACTA